CCGTCTACTTCGCACCTTGCCTCGCACATATGCAGAGTTGCCTGTGGGATGACCTGACTTAATTGCATGCGCTGCCTGATGACCTTTCTCTGTCATTGTAAATCACATCAAGCAAACCAAATTTATTAACGGAAGAACTATAAAGAGTCATTGAAGTCATAATATGAGGTGATTTGAGGTGTTATTCAATGAATTAGCTTCCCTGGAGGCGGTCAACGATGTGTACACTTGTGACACAGCAACCTATCTATGCAAAGAGTATTCCAAACACAAATAACTATTGCTGAAATAGGTTCCTAATAGTTCATCGTTGACCGATGTATTGGGATATTCGGAAAGTTTCCGCCGATTTGACCCTCAAATTCAAAAGCGCATATCTGATTCAAACAAAACATTTTCGATCTAAATGATACTATTACAATCCCTAAACATTCAATTACAAGAGGAGTATTCATCAAATTATGATGTTGAAAGTAACGGACTTCTGTAGGCGAAGAAGTCGGCGAAGGTCATTTGTTCATCATTTTGGGTTTCAATGTTTGTCTTCGAAAAGACTATCCTAATGGCTGGAAAAGTGATAGTTGGTAGGCAAGAGGGCTACTGTGCAAGATGTTCGCAGCTCAGTGTTGTAGCTCAGTTAGGTAAACTTGTGCACGGTTGGAAGTGCGAGATGGGGCTGCAGAACTGTGGGAGAGGAGTCGGCTGCACCCACTCGCTACTTCTCTGAACGTTTCACCCTCACCTGGACATTTAGGAAGCCCATCTCAGCCACGACTGATTTAGAAGAGGCCTGTTGAACAGTTCCATGCGGATTTGGTTGATGAGTACCCTCAGATATTGTTTGTCAGACTTCTTCGAAGCCTTCATCATCGCGAGAATGATGTTTTGAATCACAACTTCACGCCGTGTATTTTGCGGATTCGGTGCCAAATGCTCAGTTGACATCCCAACTTGCTCCCGCACTTTTCAACCAAATTTGCGGGTAAACAAGAAACTCGTGCAAAACAGCCTGTTATGTTGTATTGAAAGCTTCAAAAAGGGGAAAATTGTCAGGGTTGAAGTAATAGTAGATTAACACTGAGCGAGGAACGCGCTTTCTAGCAGACTCTCGAAAGTCATCTAGAATTGAAGCATTCAACAGTAAGAGAAAATCAAAAATAACAAAACTTTCATTCATTCAGCTCACTTTCTTCCATCGGAGCTGTTTTCCTTCATCTTACTTCATTTTTCATATGATGCATGTGAAAAGGGAATAGCTTAGGGTCCGCAAACGCACAGTGGTTTAAGTTTTACGTGAATTTATTGAAAGCACCCATGGATTCACGCCTGTTATGATAAATTCCCGTTTTTGTCATCTTCATTAAGAATAGTTAGCTTTTTTTCAATTATTTTGATGTGATTTACAATGACAGAGAAAGGTCATCAGGCAGCGCATGCAATTAAGTGAGGTCATCCCACAGGCAACTCTGCATATGTGCGAGGCAAGGTGCGAAGTAGACGGAGGTGTGAAATCTTGATCAAACGTCCTACTCCCAGCAAGATCTGGTCAAAGCGAACAGTGGAAGAATAAATTAATCAGGAGGAAGCCAACCTATACCTCCAGGTGATCTGAATTCCATCCGTAAGTAGCCGTAGGTAATAGATGTTTGTCACATAAACCCATAAACTCTAACCGTCATAGTAACACTTGTTATTTATCAGTACATAATGTACTCCTCCCTCTATGTGAACAAGAAAACAAGAAAAAAAAAACAACGTTGAATGTACGTTTATCCGGAAAAAACAACAAATGATGTTGGAAGGTGGCGTAGCTGCAACATATCCAGACTAGCAATATCATCACGATACGGTTCATGCTTTTGATGTCTTGGAAGGTGGTACCGCTCCTAAACATAGAAATAAGGCTTCTTTCATCATAAATCATTTTAATGCGTAAGTGCATAGCGTTTTGATCTACTCTCTTTGATAATGTCTAATACTGTCTAACTATTATTGTCTAATGTAGTGTATGGAATGAATAAAATCACATGATTTGAGTCTAAATACTAAAGATAAACAAAACACAACAATGGACTGCGGAGCTCGTCTTCTAGCTATCTTTATTTTCCCTCAACGATTAATCCTATTGATAAGCATCACTTAAAGATTCGTGGAACTCACTTTTCACCGCTACAGGATTCCTGGTGTTTGTCTTGGTCTCGAGAGCAGTGGACTTCACGTTTGGCTTGGCAGCAAACTTGGCTTTGTCCACTTTGTTCGGCGTCTCCCCCGCGTTAGATGGAGGAGCCATCGTAACAGCTTTAATATACTTTTGCAGTAATGTGTCTTTCAAGAGACTCGAGGAAAGCAAGTTTTCGGCATACGTCAAAGCTTTTCCAATGCATTTCAATCGCAGTTTGCAACCCCAAAAATATTTGGTTACGTGATTTACTCACTGAATATTCGAAAGACAATCGATCAAAGGAATTCCTATTTGGGATGGATACCATGCGTATGCCCTCCATCAAAAATCATGGTGGCATAACAGCAACTATACTCGATATCCGAGAGTTGGGGTAGGCGTGTCACCGGAAGTGACGTGCACTTGATAGAAGCTATGTGGATAAGCTGCTTCCAACATACATCGCTGGATATCAGCAAAGCATGCTGGCAACAGCTTATCCACGCAACTTCTATCAAGTGCACGTCACTTCCGGTGACACGCCCACCCCGGATATCGACTGTACAGTAAAATGTATCCTCCCCAAGTGAAATTGATAACTATCGACTGATCCCGAAAGTATGAGGGTTCGGCTTTCCTGAGTGAAATTAGATCCAGATGTGATTGTGTTCTCAGTAAGCTTGTAGCAACTGGTCCTTTTTCCCTTACACTACTAATGCCACTTTCTTCACACCCTAGACGGTCGTAGCATTTGTGTAACCGATGAGTTAGAAGGGCACCACGTAATGTTGAAGTATATGATTGTTATAGAACGTGCAAAAGCCATGCTGCGCCTGGAACGCTTTTTTGGTGGAACTTTACAACTGAGGGTGCAGTTGACACGAAATCTATATGAGGGCAAAACCTATAGATCATTGCGCCTTCGCTACTGATGCGTCCTTGTTATATTAGACTAACTAAGGGCTCCATTAATGTGAATAGCTTCAGAGTTCATGTAGCATCACATAACGTCTGGTAGATAAAAAATGTGGGTGGGAAAGTTTAGCAGAGTAGGGTATCGTGTTACCTGAAAACTCTCATTTTTCTTAGATGAAATGGAAGTGAATTAACACATTCACGCCGGCGGCAGCCCATATGGGCTGCCAAGGAATTGTGCTCGTGGACGATGGCAGCCCATATGGGCTGCCAGCTGGTAATCGCTTGCCAGGCGCTCCGAATGGAAAGATAGGTGGTTATCGAGTTCAGAATGATTTTATTTCCTTTACGGGGAAAGTGAATAAATAAAAATGGTGCTCTCTTTTCGTTACCACTATTCGTCGTTTTGATCGAAATCCTACTATTATATGTTTAGATAATCTTTACGCATTGAACATTGCTGAAATTATTTTGTGACATTCATGTTTTTGTTCATTTACAGTACAAAATCCGGCGGCGCTCACAAAATCGCGTCCGTCCCACTCGACCGAAAAGTGGGAAAGGGGAGCTTCGTGAATGTGTTAAATAATGTCGTTCGTTCTCAATACTACACTCGTTTCCCGCAATGCGACTGCAAAAAATTGGCGTGGCATCAAATCGAGAGGACTTCAAAACAACAACCCTAACAAAATTCCTGTCGAAGAATCTTTCAGTGGGTTGGATAGATCAGTACCGGTATTGTAGATTTGCCGTTGTCGCGATACGAAAGCTCTCGACAATTGCTCTAGGGTCTTACAAAGTCGGCTCTAGGCGAATGATCTTAGCATTTGGACGCATTACGTGGCGCACACCCAATGAAACGCAGCATGGGTTACGGGGTAGCGACTAATTCAAAACGGGCGGATTAGATGAGCCGTAGAACAGGCAAGCTCGCACAGCTCGTCTAGCCGCCCCTTTCTTACTTCGAAGGGAATCCTTATTTATTTTCTCCTTTTGATAGACTAACATCCGCAACTTCATTATAAACCGCTGTGATCCCACAAATACGATTTCCAGGCTTAAAGGCAAACCCAGGGATTAGCCCGACTTTGGGAAGGATACTGCGAGGGAAATTGTAAGATCCCTACCTAACTAAATCACTCCAGCTTTCCACCGATTTATCCCGGGGCTTGCCTTTGAAGTACATGTCTTCCTAGAGTCATGAGTCAGTTACGTGCTCTACTTCTTGCACCCCGTTGTCTTGTTGTCATAATTGCTTCACAGTTCACGTATTCTTGTCCAGTGGTAGTAAGCCAGGTGGGCCAAAAGGTGACGGTCAGACTCTACTGAGTGTGGCTGAGCATTATTAAAAGTCAATTCATTCGTTAATCTAGGTGAAACTCGAATGCATTGTTATTCTCGGATAGGCTACTCAATGCTGATCGCCGTAGCGTTCACCTAATTATTTCAAAGGTTCGGAGGAAACACGTAGCATCAGAGGAAACACGAGGCAAACACATTCAAGGTTGTGGCACAGCCTTACCTGTTTCAAGATTTTTCTGATTAATCGCATCTTGCCCTTTGTTGCTGGTATCCAACTGCATCTTATTGGAGCTGACTTGTCGCGGCATAGCCTTCAATTTCAGCTTTTCTAGGGAGTAACGAAAAGTAAAACAATAAAGGTCAACGCTTTACCTTCGAGGGAGGAATTCCTCCACGACCAACCTCACTCGTGCCTTCTTTCAGTGGTGTAGATGATGGTTCGCTCTTTTGATTGTCAGGCGTCGACTGAGCTTTCTTCGACCCAGTCTTCGAAGGCTGTTGCGGCAGTTTCTTCCTGATAGGCGGTTGCGGTTGCTTCGTTTCCTGCTCCTGGACTTTGGGAGCTCTATCCAACACTTCCGAACTAGGAGCTGATTTCTCTGTCATGTCCACGTTTGTTGGATCAGCTTTTTTGGGAGCAGCTTTCATCGAGGATTTCATAGGATTCGCTGGCTTCGAGGCGGTCTTGGTTGCTTTCTGGTGAGATGCTGCAAAAAAGGTTCTTTAGTTCACTGTTCATTATTCACTGATGCAAAAGTTTCAGTCCACCTTGATTGTTCTCCACCTTCATTGGCCTGGGCGATTTCGACGACAGAACCGGGTGCAGTATTTTTCGCAGGAGTTATTGTAGCGCTGTAACGACTGGGTTAAAGAGGGATACAAGCATTCAGCAGGGATCAATCCCGTTTTGAGATGCGGCTAGTACCTGCATAGTCAGACAAGCATGTTACCAATTACCCAACCCGGAAGGATGGTAAGGCTATTGTTGGCCTTGAATCGACACTAAGAACCCAGGATTTATACCTGGGCCGCGCTGACTTGCTAAAACACTAAACCCACTTAACCACTTCTGCCCTAATGACTGGGCTACTAACAGAAAACAACTTCTTAAGAAAATTCTATGGCATGAGAAAACAAAAACAAAGCTTGTTCTTTCCTTGTCATCGATATTCCTCATGGCTAAAAGCACTCCGAGTTCTGTGCCGAGTACACCCCCACTAGTGCTCGTATCGACCAGGTAGAATTCATTGTCTCCGGCGGACCGAAAAGGAGCATTGTACTGCACTGACAAAACAAGATTATAAGTTCAGGAACATAGGGTGTATACCGTAACCTTCTCGACGTTGCACTGGGGCGCGCATTCTCACGTGTCATCGATTTTCTCGTCTTCTCTGCACCCTCTCAACGAAGAGAGAATGCGTCGAGCAGGCCCGCGCAGAGTACTATGCGCCGTTTATGTAGAAGGTGGAGGACACAACGCGAGCGGTTGTCGCCACACGTCGGATGGGGCGGCACCCCGGGGATCACCTCCCTGTGCTCGCGCGCGGAGCGCGCGCAGCGCTCAGCCTCGCCGCGCAAGCGGCGAGGCGAATGCTGCGACGGTGCTTCGGCTTCGTCGCGCAAGCGGCGAGGCCAACGCTGCGACGGTGTTCGGCTTCGTCGCGCAAGCGGCGAGGCGAACGCTGCGACGTCGCTCCATTTTTGGGTCGCTGCTGCCCGAACAGCAGGGGCGGCGTCGTTGACCGCTCTCACACTAGTGCTGGCATTGTGCACTGGAAAGCCTGCAACCGCGCTCTGACGCAAACGTGGGTTACGGTATACATCCTATGTTCCTTAACTTATAATCTTGTGCTTGTCTGACAGAAAAGGAGTAGGGTTGAATTCCACGTTTGGGCCGAGCGGAACAATCTCTACGTAAACAGGGAAGGTGCGTTAAAACTCCAAAATGGTGCCACGGCATGTTTGGGTAAGGGCACCAGAGCCCACTATTTTGGATCTAAGCTCAGCAGGGTGACTACGGTCAAGTTAATTCTTCGACATGAGCTGTGCGAGAGTAGTGCCGAGAGTGAACGTACGCGCGGAGAGCACAGACGGCTCGCGCATGGCGAGTGTGAATGTCCCGCGGGAGAAGTAACTGATCAGGCGAAATCCTCGACGTGCCGTTGAGGAACCTTCGACTAATATTCATCCTGAAGGTCAACCATCCGTTGAGCAGTTATTAGTGGAGGTCGTATTTGGGTTTCTGGAGGAGGAGATTGCGTCAGGGAGGGAAACAGAGGAGGGAATCGTTTTGATGGGTCTTTCGTGGATCTTGGCGCAAATTTCGGAAATGAAGCCAAAAATGGGGAGTACATATTATAGCAAATACCCTCTTTTGCCATATTCCTGGAGGTAAGAATTGGCGGAGCTTGAGGGTGTAGCCTGATATAAGAAGCAAGTACTGTAGAGATAGCAATGGTGTTAGACTTCTCCCGTCCTTGTTGAGGGGTTGTATCGAGATCCTCTCAGAGGGCACGGGGAAGGAAGGGGAAGCCGTCAAAATTTCTAAAATCAAAACAATGGACAGTCGACCCTGTTTCGGCCACTTTGTTATGCTGCAGCAGTGGTGTCCGCTTCTTGCTTATCCGCTATGCTCTGCTAATCCCGAGGCTGCTTTCTTTCCTACGCGCCCAGTGTCCTTCTGATTGTTTTTTCCTGCAAGCTTACATGTTCCACCTTTAGGAGAAAAGAAGCTTCATATTTCAGGTTTTTGGATGGTCTTTTTTCTCATAGGCATCGACTTCGTAACTAAACTTTCACTCAGAAGCTTAAAGGAGGAATTCACGATAAGAACGAAGGTCAAAGAAGGGGAAAATTGCATAGTTGGGAGACAGGCGGACCTCCTGAGGGTGCTGACCGACGCGCAATTGGCAGCGAAAGATTTGACCTCGGCGATCTAGCATGGTTGGCGGGGTACGCCCACCGACTATCTAATCACTCGTCTATACGTGGCGAGTGATTAGATAGCAGAGAGAGCGTAGTGTTGAAGAGGGCACAGCGATGAGAGTCGCATCAATGCGCAAATCAACGGGCAAGGAAGGGGTCCCATTTCTCGGGTTTGGGCCGTTTTCATGGTTTCTTCATCCCTGCTCCACTGACCACCTCTACCCTTATTTCCAATGAGCTAACTTTTCATCGTGAATTCTGTCTTTAATAACCACACCTATCTTATCGTGAAGGTTGCCTACGACGTGGAGACAGGTAGAATCGCTGTGCAGATGTTTTTTAATGCTTTAGTTGTCAACTATAAAGTTGGGGTCTATATTGAGTATCTCAGGGCTGACCTTTTCTTTCTCGTAGGAATTGTAACGTTTGTTGGTGCAGTAAAGATGTGTTGAAGAATCTCTTCGAGCTGGGCTTCCGAATCGCCTCTTCCGCTGAAATGCTAGCAAGTAGAGGTTGTAAAAACAAGTCTTTGCTGTTTTCTCATGATGATGCTATGGTAAGGGTCAGTGTATGAACCGAGAATTAGCACGTTTTACTGGTCCAACGTTCGGACAATGGTT